TCCACAAGAAGCAGTTTGCATCCTATTTTGCTGCTTTTAATGCAATTTGAGCATAAAAGCCAGCATACTGAACCTAGACCTTCCAAAATGAGGCTTGGGCAGGAAAGCTGTGCTGTATAGTTTGACTAATGCACGGCCAGAAAGCAGCAAGCTGGATGTTTGTTTTTAGTAACTCATTAAGTCAGCTCTCACTTCCATAGTTTTAGTACACTTCTAGCACTTCTGGACCATCCAATATTATGACTAGCAAATGACTAGAACCCAGAGCCCGGTCTGCAGCACAAGGCCATGGACACTTCACTGCCTGAGAGCTGTCAACAGGGACACTGGAAGAACCAGACCCTACGCCAGCACGTGAGGCAGACATCACAACTTTGCCACCTCCTGTTCACGGGGACCCAAGATATGGAAACCAGCTCCAACTTCAATGGGCGATGCACCAAGAGCATGCATCATTAATACTGGTTAATAATGTGAAGAAGACACTGTCTCTTAAGCATTACAAAGCCCTAGACTGAGGCTGGACCAAGAGAAAGCTGGAGGAAGAGGTACATTTCTGAAGGGAACACAGAACTGGGCTTATGAAAAACCTCTGAACACCACAGGACCAGGAATCCTGACTTCCCAACAGCGCTACAGAGCATCATCACATGATGAAGTGTCCAAATACTGACAGTAGGGACATGACGTTAACTGCTCTGTACACAGAAAGAAGCCTCAGGTCGGCTTGCTCAAGAGCTGATAGAAAGTTTTGGAAGACACAGGGGAATATGAAAGTAAGCTGGAAGAGACTCCCTGGACTGACACTGCTGGTGTTCATTGTTCAAGGGGACCAGAGGGAACAACAGTAATTAAAAGCCCACATCTCTCTTTTTAATACTGAATCTTTTATTGTATTGTTTCTGCAAGTTAAATAGATGTTCCAGGTAAAGCTCTGTAGACAATAGGGGTGCTAGAGCTTTTTGTATGGAGATTGGCTACCATCTTTTCAAATTACTTACAAAATATCATTAAAAATTCAGACCTCTTGCCTCTTTCCTGTTTGTGTTCTGTGAATCACTACGTGCACTGTAATGCAAACTGTACAAAATAACATAACTGTACTACCTGTATTCTTTACATATTGTCACAGTATCTCACAAGAAACATGATTTCAGAGCCAGGGAAGCCATCATTCTCCCCTGGGCAGCCTGTGTAGGAGCACTTTTAGCTAGTAGGACAGGGACAGCCGCCACATTTAATGATGTGAAACATCTGCACCGCTCATAACAGCAGAATGTTCTTGTAAGGGCAGCTTCCTTTAACCCAAGACAACTCCCAGCACAAACATGAAAGCCTTTAGTCTGGACCGGAGATGCACGTAAAAATCCAAAAGTAGAGACCGCAAAGGTCACGGCCATTGGTGCGTAGAGGCACGTTAAGGAGCAGCAAGGAGACATGCAGGGTGGTGGAGGTCCCGGATGTCCCCGAGCCCCCTGGCTGCAGCACCACCCTACGCTTTCCCCTCTCGCAGCACTGAGTGGCCTTTCACCACCCTGTCTGTATCAAGCTAGATCAGATTCATTCTCGCTGCCTGACAGAAGTGACCTGTGAGAAGCAGATGACAAGCAGTCATCTCATTGCTTCATGAAAGACAGCCCTATTCTGTGCCATTCAAGCTTGAATTTTTGCAAGAACAAGGATGTGCTGTTCTAAATGTTGCACGCAGCATCTTGGAATGATGCCTCTTATCAGGGGCGCCAGGGCTGGCAGAAAAATGAATTATTATACAAAGACGGCGTCTTTGTCCACTTCTACAATTTAAGGGAGAGATGCAGGCGCTTAACAACTGACTGCTTGATACTGTTGTTTCTGTAATATTCAGGACTCTGCTAGATTTCCAGCACATAAATGTGATCAAACTGTGCTTCTGAATCAACTGTCAGCCTACTTGATTCCTCAAAATGTTGGAAGTGACAGTGTATGAGACCATGCTGTGTCTGCAATGGGTTAGAAATCACTGTGGTAGTCAAAGACACACTAAAGCAAGGTTTTGCTCAAAAATGGCAACAGAAGCATAACTTGTGATATTTTTTTTCTATAGGTTGTTCATTTTTAGCACAAAGTTGTTCATGAATAAATGGCTTTTTATTTTTTTTTTAAATAAAAAACCAAACAAAACCCTGCTTTGCCTAGAAAATAAATTGTTTTCTAAATCATAAATATTTGGTCTTCTTCCCAGGAACAATCACCTGACTTTCTCAGATCAGAAAAATACTTAGGCTGCCCTTGGCTCATGCTCAGGTGCCTCCTTTTATAAAACTGAGCACCTATAAATTGTATGGTAGCAATTATAAACATACCAAATAACAAATGGGTAGTTGTGCAATTTCATGATGCGATCTGAAAACTAGACAAACAGGAAATTACAGAAAGAGGGACAAGGAAGATAAAAAAAATTCCACATAATTCAGACAGTGAGGTGAAACCCTCCAGCACAACTAGCCATCCCTCCCAGAAACACTGCATGCACGGGGATGGACTGGCTCATCACAGTCCATTTCTCCGGAGACAACTGAGTTGTGATTTATCATGCATTCATGTGTTTCCACGAGCTCTCCAAGGATGCTCTCATTAAAAAGGCTGCTGGAAATCCTGTTGTTTCACTTCTGCATGGTAGATTCCTACCTGCTGGCACACTCCTCTCACCCACTTCACCAAACATCTCCCCAGCCAAATGGCTTCCTCTCCCCGCCAAGTATGGTCAAACCAGACTCTTTAGCACAAATGTGGAACGATTCCTACTTTATATATGTAGAACTGAGATCTCCAGGGACACAGTGTAACTTCATTCACTTTTCAGTCATCCTGGGTTGAAATACAGAACCCAGGATGCAAAGACTGCCCCTAAACCACCCAAGCCCTGTTTCCTTCTACCACAAGTAAGTACATCCCATCCAGACTAGGCTCCATCTTGAATTAGCCATATTTTTGCCCCTGTTTTTTGACGGGAACAAACTTGTGCTGTTCCTAGTTCTGTAAGTGGAAGTCTGCTTCAGAGCCTCATTTTTCCTACAGTTAAGAAGTGTCTTCTAATTTCTAGCCTAAATGTATTCAGCACCAGTCTATGCCCTGCTGTTCTTCTGCCAAGACTCTCTGTTAGCTTAAATTATTACTTCCAACACACAGGGCAAACCCCTGTTGGTTTTACAGACTGCAATCATATTGCCTCTTCACCATCATCTTACTATGCAACACAAATCTTCTCCCTTTGTATTACGTTTTCATTAAAGCAAACCATCACTGAACATATTTCTGAGTTCATCCTTCTTGAACATGAACGACCAGAATTGCACTCTTGATTCCAAATACACAACAGCTTTAACACCCTCCTCTATCAACTCTACAGATAGGATCGTATTTGCCTTTTCCCCAGCTGCAACACATTGGCATTTCATGCTGCAAAATACAGTGCAGGTTTAAAAAAAAAAATATATTGCACAAGATTAGCTCAATCCTTTTCTGCAATAAAATAACAGAATTTGTGGACAAAGCAAATGCACGAATTCTTATCTGGACCAAGGCACTAGCATCTTTTTCTGCCTCAGTCCTCTCTAAATTATGAGCCCAGTTTACAGCAAAGTGGATTATGATTAATCCTTAGGTGAATAACCTTGCACTTGGTATCAGTCCATTTTATAACATTTATATTGCTTAATCTTCAATGTCATCCAATTCTTCTTGTACAGTATCTTGATCTTCCTTTTACTGATGTGTCTCACAACTTTGTGTCAGTAACAGAATGCTATTTCATTAACTCTATTCACTTTCTGAGCCAAAGCCACTAATAAAAATATTAAGCAAGATTGGTCCCAAGACTGCTCCTTGATAAAGTCTCAATAACCTCCCTCCAACCTTTCTTCCCTTTACAGTATCACTGCCTACCATCTCCCTGTTACCCAAGTGCTTGTACTTCTTTCTAATACCTGTATTCTCCAGTTTACCTAATTCCCTGTGAATCATGGCATCAAATAATTGCTGTTTCTTGCAAATTTTTGCCAAGGAGATAAGTAATTTCATAGTTAATGGTATATAAATGTGGCACAGTCTCTGAAAACCATATGTTGTGTATTTTACTCCTTTGCATTTGTTCCTGCTCATTCTCTGCTTCACAAATCGGTCTGTAGTCCTACATACATTCTGAAGTTAGATTAGCATGTCTGCCTGTCCCTAAGATTTTCTGTTCTTTAGTCAAATAGTGTAAACTCAGACTTCACAGACTTATTTAAAAAAAATAATTAAAAATCCTTATTTCCAAACTGGGAGTTCATGGACAAATTGTAGCAGAATTCTGATATAACCAACCCCTCAGGCATGTCCACTAAGCTCTCAAGGTTTTGCATCCACCTTGAATGTGGTAGTTGCCTCTCCTTCCATACCTCAGAGCTACTAGGCACCTCCTCTTTGTTCACCCCAGCTACTGAACAAGGGGGGGAAGGTATTGGCTTCAGCAGGTCCAACAGAATCATCTTTCCTGAACAGAAAGGCAAAGCAGTTTCTTAGTTTTGAAGCTTCATCTACGTTACAAATAATTGTAACCCATCCTTATTGCATCTTCCCCAACCCCAACTGTTTCCTCATTTTGTAATTATTTGATTGCAAGTTCTTTTTTCTATTTGGTTTACTCCCCTTAGCTTTGAGTCCACTTGGGATGGTTTTTGACCGTTCTTATTTTCTCTCAAGGGAGGTCGGCAATATTTCCCTCTTAGTTTTAAATTTTTGTGTTTATTTAAGCCAACTCATTAATTTAGATCTGGGCCCTAAAAATATTATTTCTGCTTTTTAGAACTTTTTAATGTCAAAAGTGGGAATCACCCTCTGGGATAAGAGAAATGTTAAGGCTGAGATTCTCCAACGATCGTGGTCACCATAGTTTAAACATCTGTCCTCAATAAGACTTTTCCAACTTAATTACCACCAAGATTTAGAAGAATAGGCAAAACTCCCAGACCAAAACTCACTCATGTTGCTTCACTCCTCAGTATCACATCCTGACATTGTTTCAGTCTTAGAAGTTGAACAGTTGATTGTTTCCATGATTAACTCCTCCACTTCTCTCTCAATGGCCAAAGGTGAGATCCATGTAGTACACTGGCTCACATTACAGACAGGTATGCCTCCCAGGGATCCTGCATAATGAACAACAATAATAAAAGAAGACAAGGCTCAGGAACATTTTTTACTGCTAGACACACATTGGAAGAGATGGGGAAAAAAAAGACAAAAGGTTACAGTTATTGCTTGCTAATTAGCTCTGCTTAAATGTTTGGGAGCTCACACCCATTACCATGACTCATTAGCAATTCCCCTTCCAGATACATTAGACAAAATGGGTGAAGAGGTATTTATGTGAAAGTGAATTCCCTGTCTTCAGAGGTCTTCTGTCGCTGCACTGCACTGGAGCGGCGAGGCCTCCGTTTAGCCAGGGAGCTTGGGCCAAACCCGATGGCTGCTGTCTGCTGGGTGCTCCCATGCAAACCTGAGCTCTGGCAGCTCTCCATTGCTTCCAGTGGGCAACAGCTCCAAGGTCAGGGTTAAACTGTCTCACACCGTGTGGTGCCCCAGGCTTCCAGCCTGCTATTCTCCAGGCTCCTCTGGAGCCATGATTTCAGTGGAGATTATTTTGCAACAGTAGAAGTATCTTCCAACAACTCACATCATATAGTAAGTGGGGAAAAAAAATTGAACAGTACCTTTTTCCACTATTAAGTATCCAAGAAATGTATTTAAGAAATGAGAAAAGTGGGTAGCATTTATATATAAATGCAGAATATAGAGTTCCCTCTTTTGTATGCCCTCAGAAGAGCAGCGAAAATGTGCAACAGAGACATCTGGAGGGATTTCAGGACTTGAGTGCTTTCCATCTGGGGCCATAAATAAAAAAGTAGGACTGCAAAAAATTTCCATTTCTAGACCAGAAAACAAAATTACCTACCCCAGCGCCATTAGATGCCAGAATGGGAAAAGGTATCTGACTAAAATAGCCAACTATTTACATCTTAGTTTTTAATAATTATTGATCGAAGCTGAGCTGCAGTTATACGCGACAGTAGTGAGGATAGAACTGGTGGTTCAGGACTCAGATCAGCCAAAATGAACAACGATCTACTACAACCACAAATGGCAAATCCAACACGAAGTGCCAACATGTTTGCAGGCACAATGCTGAGATGCAGCTAATTAGCCCAGGCCCAATCCTGCTGCCCACGTGTCCACCAGAGCCCTGCCCGAGTGCTTCAGGAGACAGCATGACTGCTTCCATGAGTCAGCTATACTGCTCAAAAGACATATGCGCTCCAATATAGCTCGAAAAAGCAGCTGACAGTGAAACTCTGGCAAGAGCCTACTGCTGTACTGGCCAAATCCCAACGTTTTCTCAAAAACCCAAAACAAGCAAACCAAAATTCCTGCTGCAGTCAAGTGGACTCTTGTACAAGCATGGCTAATTTTCAGACAGTGCCTGCTCTCCTCTTAGACCTCTGGCTCATTTCTGGAAGTACTTCTATAATTAAATAAGAATTAGAATTAATACTACCACTAAGATTGATATATTGGAAGCTGCCGGGGCAATATAGATGCCCATTCCCCTTCATTTTTAATGGAAACTGAGCATCCAAATGACTTTAAAACTTTCTCTGTTCCCACATAGCACAGGAACCCCCTTCCCTGATGCTATGCCCTAAGTGCTCAGCACAGTCCTGGCCGGAGCAGGATTGTGTTCGTCAGTGCTCACAGTAGCACGCACCCTGGCCGGCCTCACACACACATGCTCAAGTTGGAGAATATCTTTAATGAGCTACTGTGACAGCTAATGCAAAGGCTTTATACAACTTAAAGCAAGGGGTAAATGTAGCTTTAAAATGGAAAATATTCTCTCTCATACAAATGCACATTATTTCATTATAGAGGGTGATTTACGTTTACTGCATGCAGAGAGAAGACTACATGTTTTTGCAAAATACAAATCTCTTAAAAAGTGATTTCATTTAGAAATTGATTAGAAAAACACCTCCCTTGAAACTATGTAGGGTATTTCAGGGTAATCCCATCTCCATCATTTGTTTCTTATCCTCAGGGTGGACTGACCAGCTCAGGATTCCCACACAGCTCAGGATTCCCACACCCCCTTCCTTTTGTGGGACTGTGAGTCAAACCCTTCACACCTCCAGTGGTGAAACTGCATCTCCAGGCCTCTTGCAGTGCAGTTCCCTTGCTCTAGTTTGGCTTGTCTGAACCCAGGCAGAGCAGGAATTGAAACAAAAAACCTGCAAAGTGACTAGAGAAGGACTATGATCCAACATCAGATGTCAGTTCTTGGTGTTCATTCCCTATACAGTCCACTTCCAATTACACCTGCACAAACAACATACTACAGTCCACCACCTCGATGGCCTGGGGACGGAGTGGATGAATTACCATAAATGTTCTTCTAAACACTTCACAGTCAGGTGCCACCAGGTCACTGAGGTAGTTTGCAAGGCTTGAGCACCATTAACAGTTTTGATTCTAAGGCAACACGTGGTTCTTGGCAGAAGCAACACCAATGCTTACATTGCTGTCACTGCACCGAAGAATTTGTCCTCCATCCATGTAGCGTTGGCCTTGTCTTAAGAGAGGATGTCATTTCCCATCATAATCTCCACTTCCAAATGGCACTTGGATGCCATGTCTGTAAGTGCTGACACCAGAGAACAACTTAATTAGGAGATAATGGGGCAAACATTGGCCCGTATATTGTATATTTTAATTTTTTTTCCTTGCAGAGCAGCACTGCATACAAAAGGAGTTTGCACCACAAGTAAATCATCAGCAAGGAGCACTTCAGTCACACTTTTACTCACAGTGACCTCCCAGGGTCCAGCGTGCCAACGCTGCTACGCGACTGCCTGCAAGGTGGAAAATTCAAATTTCACAACAAACTGCTTCCCATTCTAACTTCACATATGTTTGCACTGCCTGCTTCTGCTATATTTACTTTAGAGTTGATTCTTGGACACTTCCAAAAAAACATTAAAATATAATGAAAAAATCACCAAGGTCTATACAATGTCCACCTGAAGTCAGTGCACCTTTCCTGAACCTCATCTGAAGTAATTACTGAAACACGAGATAGGAAGGACGTTAGACCTTCAGTGCTGGAAATATTCAGTATTTTAAAAGAAATGGTTCAAAATCGAGACACGACTGAAATCTACAGCAGCTTGTATGATCAAGCTCCACAACTCTGCCACCTTACCCACTATTATAAAGGGGAAGGTGGAGGGGGTCACGCCAACAGGATCAGATGAAATTTGTTATTTTCTCTTCTACTAAACCAAAGAGAAAAGTGCCTCAAACCCACAAGTCTCAGATTCAGCTATGAAATAACATGCATAGAAGTCTGCACTGGAATTGATTTAGCTTAATATGTTAAGACTACATAAACAAGTGACCATGGCAGATGGGCAGTTTATTGCCCCCCTAACATCTTCCAGCATAGACATGATGTAGAAGATATTAATCATTATAAATTTCCACCTAAAAAAGGCAGTAAAGGATGGTAGTACCTCTAAGAGTTTATTCATAAGGGAATATTTTAAAACTATTTCAAAATTAACTAAGAATCTGTATGTGAGGCACAACAGCTATTTTGCTTTCATGCCCTATCTGCACACTCCCCTTTACATTCAGGATTCCTCTTTGCAGTTTATCGTCTGAAATGATTATGCCTAAACCACACGACAGCCTTCTCAGTGTGGAAAAGAGCATTGAACACAGCGGGGCAGAATAGTTGTTTCAAAACCATGATTCCCAGCTGTCTGAACCAATAAACCTGAGGAGAAGCCTTTCTCCTGCATCAGAGGTGTAAGCAGCGATGGACGCACTGGGTGCCCCCTGGAAACTGCTGTCATGGACGTGCATATAAACACAGGGGTCAAATTATCTCTTTCAAGGTGATGCAGAGATTTCATTACTTTGAAAATGATAGAATCCAGTGGAGGTGAGTCCTTATTAGATGAAGTGGTCAAGTGAAACATATTGTTTTATTCATGAAGAGATCGTGACTGTATTATCAAGAAAACCTACAGGTCTCAACTCAGCATTCCTTAATTTTGCTGCTCTGGTTCAAACCGGGTCTCCTGTTCTTTGGTTTTCCAGCCTTTCAACCTTTCTCTCTTCCAAGCTCTGAAAACGAAGCCCACCAGTTTGAGACCTGAATGCTCCGTTTGGTGACTCAGTACTCAGGAGACTGACCTGAACTGTACAATCATGGTGTGAAGTCACAGATATTTAGGGGCCAGCTCGATCTAACACGGTAAGATGGCACCAAGGACTCCTGCCTTCACACTTACCTACCGAGACGCAGGGAAAGAACAGAGGAGACTGAAAAGGGCTAAGTAATCTGGGAATAGAGGCTTCGGCATTCCAGTCCTTCCTGCAGCTTGCCTCATCGCCTCTCAGCTGATCACAGTTCCTCTGTCTTCTCAGCTGAGACACAAGACTCAGTTTATGGGCTCAGTGCTACGCAAAATAGCTCTGGTGGGATTCCAGAGTTACCAAGAGTGCTCAGGTCTTCAAAAGACTTAGAAAGCATCAAGAAACAATGTGAGTGCACGGTATATAAACACTTGTATGTTTTTGTTCGGCAGCGTGACAGACCCAGCAGAGCTTGGGTCCCGGCAGGAGAGCTGCAGAGACATTAGATGCCTCCCTTCAGCACTGGAGTCTGCACAAGCCCTCTGGTCCCCCTGCGTTTCTCCCCTTCTGCACCCTCCCCACACACTCTACAATTCACATCAGCACTTGGAAGTCTGGTGCTGTTTGAACTCCAAACATCTGCCACCAAATTATTTCTCTCTCCCAGTTCACTGAGCAGAGATTCTGCATCACTGAACTACGGTTTATCCACCGACAACAGGTTTATTACAGCAGCACCAACCTTCCGCAGCTGAAGTGTGCTTATGTGAGGGGAAGCACCCAAAGCACTCTGCAAAAAAAGGAAGGGGATGGTTTCTCTGATAAATACAGACAGCTCCTTCCCTTCCTCAGCTCAAAAAAATGCCTCAAAGCAGGTATCTGATACAGTAAGCAGTCCATTAAATTGAGCCAGCCACTCAATGACAGTGGAACGCCTACGGCACAA